TCAAATGAACACTTTTTTTATTTTGTCCAAACTAATAGTCATGGAAATAAAAATGCTAGAAAGTTAATTTTCGTGTTTGGTTACATGTGTGAGCCACTGTACGTATTTGTCTCGATTTAGCATTCTGATATTTACCGATTCATCAGTAAATCGAATCGAGACCTGACTGTATCCAAGGTTTGAAGTACTGGATAAACAATTAGACCACGACAAACCGCATTTTTCAAATTTTTTACTAATACAGTCATAATGAAACAACTAGCCGACTCCCTGTGTTCATTGTATATATCAAGGTTTTCGTTAAATCGAGTTTACTAAATCATGTCTCGATCTCAATATGAAAGTTTGGTCTAAGAAGCTTTAATTGTCGCACCTAGGCGACATTAATTATTTTTTCGCCATTAAAAAACTAATTACAGTGTGTAGCGATTATTACAAGTAACATGCTTCTTTTAATTGGTGTCAAGCCATCTATCATTATTACAAAAAAACGTGCTTTAAATGTAAAAATATTTATTATCGAAATTAATGATAAAGTAATGGAGAAAAGAAACAATCAAAAACATAGTCAGCTAGAGAAAAACCATTAAGCAGTTTTAACTCGAATACAATCATCTTGAGCACCACGTTTAGCAACAGGCATTATAAGAGGTTGATGTGCGAACGAGGCAGTCATTGTGCAAATACGATAAATTCCAGGTATCAATCCAGGCGTTACTTCTACTGACAGAGTGCTTTCTTTGGTTATATTATTTAATCCTTTGAAAAATATGGGATCCCTTGCATCTGGCGCTGATTTGGTACTTATCAACCGCTGAACTGTAATATGTGTATGGCCCTTGATGAAACCTTTTTTGTTTAATTGTTGTGAAAATTTATAATATTCGGTCTCTGGATCATCGAAGTTTCCAGTTGCCAAATTAGCACTGATTACAGAGACTGTGAAAGGAGTATTTGCTTTTAAGACTTGGCCATTTTCTGGTGTGGTAATAAGTGATGAGACCATCTGGCTAACATCAGGAATTTCTCCTATTTGGGTATCGGAACAGGATCGACCACCGTTTTTTAATTGAGTACCATTTGCTTTAGTTTTGATTTTTGAGACATCGCAAACATGTCCATTTGCAGCACCAGATAAAGAGTCTTTGGCAAAGTCTGCATCACTACTAGACGGTGGTTGAGATGGCTTGCCAGGCTTAGGCTTTTTTTGTTTCTTTCCTCTTTTACTGAGTCCAGGGGATGCGACAACAGCCAGAGCAAAAGCGATGACTAGAAAGAGAATAAACAATCCTTTTTTCATTATTTTTAAGTTGGATAATAGGATGGATGGACTAAAGGGATATATGTTTTTATTTATTATAGCGAATTGCAACCAGGCAATTCTTTCGTTGTTTAGAACACACTGTAATTATATATTTAGAGAACGAAAATGTTTTAAATTCAAAAGTGTGAATTTATATTCTTTTTTTTTTATAACTATGTGTAACAGTACATATACGTATTTTATTCTTTGTGGGGATTTGATAAACACGCACGCGACTCCAACTATTCAATTTTCGCACAGTATCACATCATCTTTATGTTCTCTTTTTTATCTTTTGCCCATCTACTTGATAAAGCTTGGAATGATTATTTTTTCGTGTGATAGGAATGCCAATGGCAATTTGTACTATTACATTTGATTTTGAATTAAATTTTTAATTTGCGTAATGAATTTACTATGAAAACCAATATTTGTTTTCATTGGCTAATAACGTATATCAATTTCCCAATATAGACAAAAATCGATCATATCTATGGTTTCTCGTTAGACCGAAGTTGCGTTAAGTCAAATTTTACGAATTTGGGCGCGATTTCGAAGGGTTTGCTGATAAGCATCGCTTCAATTTCAACGAAACCACCACAAAAGTGGATTTTTAAATGGATAATCGGGAATTTACGGTATAAATCAATTAACCGGATTTATTTGACAAAAACCATCTCAGTAAAACGGATAAATCTCCTTTTTTGTCTTCGGTTTAACTGTACCTTTATCTCATCTTTCTCCCATTCAAACTTTGAATGATCAATAGACAAATGACACTTTCTCCTGATAAATGACATGTGAGTTTATGATGTCTTTCGATGCCAAGAATTGATCAGTCGATAAAAAGAACTATGAGAATTGTAATGAATAGACAACTATCATTATGTGACTTTAACATGTTAATATCAAAGTTTTCCTTTTCTCCACGTTTCGAATAATGAAATATGCATATTCGTTCACCATAAGCAAGAGGATGTTTTGCTATTGGAAGCGCTTTAAAACTAAAATGGTTGGTTGTTTAAATGCACTACAAAAATCAATTTTGTTTGATGATGTGGGGTCAGTAACGAGTTAAAGTCTAGTTCGTTATGTGCGGTTTCTGACTCTTTCTATAATAATAAAATTTAATATATCTAAAAATAAATTAAATTAAATGCTCACTTCGTTGATTCGCAACATAAACTTATGTGTCGATTCTATTGATTATTGTAACATAACGTCTTAGGCAACTTGTGCAATTTAAAAAAATGCCACGTAATTAATTTATATAATGTAAATATTTATTAGCAAAAAAACCAAGTTTAATAATAAACTTCAAGATAGTATGAAATCTAAAGAGAAATGACTGTATTTTTGAAACCTAAATGTAATAATCATCGATAATCAGAGTCTTGGCCGTAATAAAGATTTGTTTTTATTCCGCCCACAACTGAAAAACACTACAAATTATAATCAGAAAAATAATTAAACTTGAATCGGAATTCAGAATTCAGAAATAATTTTGCTTCTTGAATTTCATATCAATCGAGAAGTTATTCAGCATTTCAGTTTATTTAGCTAGTGGGACATTAATGGTATTTGGGCAGAATTATGGCTTTAATTGAAATTCAGCTTTTGTGTAATTAGATCTACTCTTCAGACTATATAGTATAAACTTCTAAATCCGGATCATTCGATGTTTTCTTGATTAGAACAAATTTGCTTTTGAACACGAGCACCATCTCAATTATTTCTTTCATTCTTTTGATTATTTCTTCACAAAAATATGCAATAAAATCAAATGGTAATGCTTTCAATATAATAATTTCTCATTGATTTATGTGAAATAACTCCCTTATAATGCTTTTTAATATCGGATAGTGGGTGTTTGAGAAAAATTACTGTGGCATTACAAGAACCCTATAAGAAAAATACGCCTGTAAACTTCAATATATATCTGTAAAAAAGTGTGGAAACATACGAAAAGTCTGAAAAGACACGTAAATTTTACACATATAAACACGAAAATCGCGTATGTAAAAGTCTGTTTGTCCTACTCAATTATTGTGTTTATATGTCTGTAAAATTTTTCTGTGATAAGTTTAATAAAATGCCGGGTAGCACAAGCCAATAAGAATGCGCAAATTTTATATCAGTCCAAAAACAAATCTGACACAAAAATGGGGAAACGCTTGCTTAAATCTAGTCTGAAGCACTAATAAAAAATGATGGTGAGACAGTTTTACATATAAACTTGACCTCAAACCTATCCCTAACCCTAATCTTAACCTTTAAAGTCAATATTTAACATCGTGTTACCGATCTATAAATTTATTAAATGTCATCAGTGTGATCTTTGTTTCATTTTACGTGTTTCGTTTAATGATTGAGAAGTTTCACGTTCCCAAAGTTTAGAAGGTTATGGTGCATAACACCTAGTCATCAAACGTTTGTAGTTTATAAAATGGATGAACTTCTTTACTAAGAAGTAAATACAAGATTTAATCCGTGAATATGCTCAGAAGGACCTATTCTATTATATTCACGGATTAAATTTTGTATTTACTTTTAGTAAAGAAGTTTATCCATTTTATAAAATACAAGCGTTTGATGACTTTAGATGTTATGCACCATATTTCTGTTGGTGAGTCCGATAAGACTTGGTTGAAGCTTTTGAATGTAACTGATCTAAAATCGTTTAAATATGCTAAACAGCAGCAAATCCAATAGATTTTGCAAATCTGGTAACCGAAGTGATCGAAAAACTTGGCGGATTTACTATGGTGCATAACATCTAAAGCCATCAAACATTTGTATTTTATAAAATGAATAAACTTCTTTACTAAGGAGTAAACATAAAATTTAATCCGTGAATATGCTCAGAAAGGGCTTATTCTATCATATTCACGGATTAAATCTTGTATTTACTTCTTAGTAAAGAAGTTTATCCATTTTATAAAATACAAACGTTTGATGACTAGATGTTATGCACCATATGCGATATTTACGGATTAAATTTCTTAGTAAAGAAGCCTATCCATTTTATAAAATACAAACGTTTAATGACTTTAGATGTTATACACCATATAACTGCTGTTATCGAAAACCTTCCGCAACACAACACGTGATTTACAAATCTTCGTGAACATAGTACACTAAAAAAGAGAGTTAAGCAAGATTATTTCAATACGATTGTAATAAGTAAAAAAATTCAACAAAAGTTATAATAAGAAAAATGTATTGATGACAAATAACAACAATTTTGAAAGAAAATTGCAATCAAATTCTTTATTCACATTTTCAAATTGTAAAGATAATTAATCTAAATTAAAACATTTCAGTTGATAATACATGAATAAATAAGAATTTATAATCAAAATACTCAAATCAGATTGGAATGTATTGTGAACTAATTAATAATAAAATTATTATGTGAACTTTAAATGCTAAAGCTAAGGGTAGAGGCATAAATCAAGTGATTTTTTTTTTAGAAAGGACCAAATCAAATGATATTTCTATTATGTAATGTCATATTTATATATATCATTTATATGTAATAATTTTTATTATCAATGGCTTGAAAATTTTATTGAACTATTTCATTTATTTAATATAATTTTTATAAGTGTAGAAAATATGTAATTAATTTTTAAATAATCACAATCAGTCAATTTAATGCTAATTTCCAGCACAATTTTTGAACTAATAAATTTATAAATTAGAAAGCTCAAAAAATTTTGTGAGACTAAAACTCAAAGTTTCAAATCTGAAAAATCACATAATTTTTCAAAGTGGAATAATTTTGTAAGAAAACGAAATATTTCATCCCATTCTATAATAAATATATTTATATTATTTAGTTTGAAATTATTAAGTAGAAACAATTTTATGGTTCATGCAGTATGCATCAATTAATGGATACCTATTTTAATTTCGGATGTGCAGATCATTTATTAAAAGCGAGAGAGGTAATTAAACTTGAAACCACATTGACATGGCGGATCATGAAAACAACGTATAAATTAATATTTTAAAGAATTGTAATGTCTCTAAATGAATGTTTGCCTTTGCCAAGAAAACGAGCAATCCCTATGGTGCATAACACCTAAATGATTGTATGTTATGAATCCGATAAACTTCTTGACTAGAAAATTTTAATCCGATAGAATAATCAAGAAAGGACTATTTATCATTCTATTGGATTAAATTTCCTATCTAAGAAGTTGGGTTCACGTTTAGGTGTAATGCACCATATGAGAAACAAGAAATTATTCAAAAAAATTTTAAAATACATATCAAGTTTCCTATTCTCTTTAAATTTTTCGGAAAATGTCGCGTCGAATTAATATGAAATATTTAATTTTTGTTTACTATGAATTAATTACCGTTACTATGAATTAATTAATGTTGGTCGATTGATCGTTTGTATGCAGTTTACTTGAGAGAGTAACCTTTAAAATTTATCTTAACGATTTGCAAGGAAATTAATTAATTCTGTGGAACCATCGATCACTTGATACGTGTTTCAATAACCGAAAGTTCCGTTCCAGAGAAAGAAATCATAGATATCCTATTAACTAAAGCTAGTACAGACCTCGGTATATCAATTAAAGTCAATAATTAACGGAATAAATTCCTTGTATATCTCGTATTAAACTTATTATTCATGATACATCTATGCTGCAAACCAATCGAATATATATTTTACACATAAGACATTTTTTAAATTAAGATGATCATCGACGAGACGCGTTTCTTTAAAGAATCAAATTGTAATAATTGTAATTGTAATGATATAACACACAATGGTTGTTTGCTATAAAAAGGGACCTGTCTCGAATTATTCTTTTTTCTTTGCTTACTTCCAAACTTCTGTCATTGAATTGCCTGGCGCAATTTCTCTCGATTCCATTTTTATATAGAATAATTTAATTATCTCTTTTTACTATACGAATAATAATCGATAAAAATGAAAAAAGCTTTAATTTTATTTGCCTTCATAATCGCTTTCGCGTTTACCGCCACTGCTCAAAACGGAAAATCTTTCGGTAAATTCGGTAATGCACCACCTGGTGGCAATTTCGGTAAAACACCACCTGGTGGCAATTTCGGTAAAACACCACCTGGTGGCAATAATGGTGGTGGTGGTGCTGGTAATCCACCCCCACCAGCGGCTAATCCACCGGCTAATAGTGATGCAGACTTTGCCAAAGACTCTTTATCTGGTGGTGCAAATGGACAAGTTTGCAATGTCTCAAAAATCAAAACTAAAACAAACGGTATTCAATTAAAAAACGGTGGTCAATCCTGTGCCGATACCCAACTAGGAGAAATTCCTGATGTTAACCAGATGGTCTCATCAATTATTTCTGAACCAGGAAGTGGCCAAGTCTTAAAAGCAAATACTCCTTTCACAGTCTCTGTAACCACTCTTAATTTGGCGCTTGGAAACTTCGATGATCCAAATACCGAATATTATAAATTTTCACAACAATTAAACAACCAGGGTTTAATCAAGGGACATCAACATGTTACAATTCAGCAGTTGAAATCTAACACCTCACCGCCAGATCCGAAGGTAGTAGCCTTTTTCAAAGGATTGAACGATAAAGGCGATGGTAAAACTTTAAGTACAGAAGTAACGACTGGCTTGCCAGCTGGAGACCATCGTATTTGCACAATGAGTTCCTCGTTCGCACATCAACCTCTTATAATGCCTGTCGCTCAACGTGGCGCTCAAGATGATTGTATTCGAGTTACAGTTGTTTAATGGTTTTTCTTTAATAGATAGAAACTAATATTTGTATTACATTTTTTCATGTATATTGGGGTTGATAATAAAAAAATCGCTTGACGCGACAAACACGGAAAAATAAAAAAAGACATTGAATTACAAATTTCATTATAAGAACTATTATATAGTTAAACAACTTTTTACACTTCTCTTTTAGTCAGACTAAAGTCTCGAAAAACCAGTTCACTGGCAATTATTTAATTGATGATAAAGAAACGAATTAAAATCTAATAATCTGAAAATTTAGGCAGGATTCTAACATCGTAAAATTACTAATAAATATCAATGAAAATATGCATTATAGACACCGCGAATTTGAATAAAGAAGCTTTTTTCGCTTCTGATTCATTTTTTCTTCAGGATATATCGAGGCCTTCATAATATCCAGATCAATTGTGCAACGTTAAGATCCCGTTTTCGGATCTAACTTTAAAGATACAAATATAATCAAACAATAACTAGTGGTAAAATATGCGAATATTTTCAATTACGTATATGCTTTGATAATAAGCTTGTTACCGTAAAGGTACCCTTTGTAGAAAATTCAAACTTAACTTAATCTCAAGGCTAATAAAATTTTGAACCGTGAATCTTGTTTCATTCATTTGCAGAAAAAAACTAATAAATTAAAGTGACAAAGGGTGATTTGTGCAGCGCTTTACGGTATCTTCTTGCTTAAATTTTCGCGAGCGGAACAATACATTTGGTGACTAGCCATATAGTGCAATTTTGGACAGCTATTTCACTCGCAGAAATTCCGTGAATACTAAGATTTTCCAAGTTTGACTTGTTTTTAGGTTTGGTTAGCGAGTATTAGATGTTTGGGTGTAACTAAGTATAATTTCTCTATATATCGATGCCTCTATATAACGATATTTTGAAAACATCGTTTTAAAAAGGGGGTTTTAGAGTACTGTACCATTTTCAACAAAAATTATAAATCCCACCAGTGGTGTTCAACACCACAAAAAAAAATAAAAAAATTTATTGGTCTGAATTAGGGTTTGGGATAGGGCAAAGATAAGATTATTTTAATGCAAAATTTTGCAAGGAAAGCAATTTCATAGGCAGAATTTCGAGATACAGGCCATTTTTAAAAAATTCGTTTTCGCTGTTTTGTTTTGAATTTTTTCGTTACACAGCGATCCTACGATTTGATTGGTTAAATGTTTTGATCCTGCGATCCGATTGGTTAATTTAATACTGGTGTTCAACACCAATGTGATTTAGTAATGTCGATTATAAATTATGATGTATCATAATTTAATTTAATCCCTTTATTTTCACTTTGTATATGATGCGAACGGCTTAATCACATCAAATTGCTAAGCCACTGCTGAATTTGTACCGATCTATATATATATATAAAAAATAATATGATTCTATTGGTTAGAATATAAAGAACCAATCATCCTAATCAAAATTATATTATCTTGAAACATAATTTTTAGTGTGTTTTTTTTGCTTTGTTGAGCTGATTTGAACAAATTATGATTTAGTTAGTTAATACTATTCAGATTTAACAATATTTCAATATCGAAATGAAGTAAACATGCCAAACTAACTTGTAAAGTTTATTACAAAATGTTGAAAACAAGCTGAAAGTTCTAAGCTATCAGATGCTGAACCTAATGAGTATAATAAATATTTTTGAATAAAAGATAAGGAAAATGTCTAAATACTAATAAAATTATGAATCAATTGCAAGTGTTGCAATCAATTATACTAGAACAACTAGTTAAAAATGCAAAAAAACCAGATGTATAAACTATAAATTTACATGAATCAATATACATATAAACAAGCTACACAATTGATATTGTACAACAAGAAAGCATATTGGCAAAAAATAATTTCAAATTCTAAAAAAATTACTAATATATTTTTGACAAGAGAAATTACTGAGCTCAATATAAAAAGTTACAATATTATATTTGATAACATATATAATAACAATAACAATAATAATAACAAATTTACATTAAAATCTCTTGATTTATTATCAAAAAAAAAGAGTAATAATTTGTGATTTTGAATAATAAGTTAATTTCTTTATCTAGTTCAGAATTAGAGATTCATCAAGATGGATGCAAGTAAATTTTTTGTTCAAAGCTTAAACAAAGATTTATGATATGTATAATATTATGATTCAATTTTTAGAACTTTTCTTAATATTATTATTAATTGTGACTTCAACTAATTATCTATTTGTATTTTTAGTTATTGATTTCAATTCAGTTATTTTAGGATCAATGTGCAGTATATCATTTTCTATTTTAATAAATAAAATTATTACTAATAAATATCTTCTTTGTATTTACTTAGTATATGAATAGTTTTATAATAATACAGTATTGATATTCTATAACAACTTGATTAAATATCCAGTAGTATATATTAAATATTATTATTATAATATTATTATTATAATATAAATATTTAGTTTTTATTTATTAATTAATTCATATTATAAATTTAATTGAATAATATTTTATTATATTTTATTGATTAATTTTATTGAATATTAATTACATGAAATATTATTTGTAGATATTTTTAGATAATTAAACAAAGCAATATAATTATAGTTAAATTAGCAATTTAATTATAGCAAAAACAATAATATAATATTAGCAAAACAAGTAATTAAATTCTAGCAAAAGTAGTAATAATATTATAATAAAAGTGATATTTGTAAAACTATCAAATATTATAAAGGTAATATATCTTAAGTAGTAATTTAGATAGATTTTATAGCTCCTAAAATTTCAAGAATAATAAATAATAATTAAAAGCATATAATAAATTAATAATAAATTTGTCTAATAATAAAGTTACATTTTATTAGTATTAAATTATAATTTTATAATGAAATTACATATTTATTATATAAAATTCTTTAATTAAATACTATTATTAAAAATTTTAGATCTTATTTTAGCTAATCATATTATGAACACATTATTATCTTACTTTAGATTTGTTATAATTATAATTTAATACTTGATATATTATATAAATTTGATTATATTATACTTTCTCATCCATAATTCTTAATAAATTTTACTATAATTATCTTGACTAAATAATTTATTATAATATTATTAAGTACTTATCAGCTCTTTCAAGAACTTATAAAATATAATAATAATATATTGCTACCATTTTTAGTTCTTATATATGAAAATATTTAGAAATGACTAACAGCAACTGTATTTACAGCAAATTTTAATTAAGAAAGAGATAATTAATAATAGTGGATAATTGATAATGACAAGTTAATGAAAATATAATAGAATAAATATTAAATGTGTTTAAGTAATAATAAAATGGTACTAAAATTAAATATATACTATAAATTAAAGTTAAGAATATATTATAAAAATTATATGAGAATGATTAAAAATGAACAAGAATAAAACAAAGAGAAAATAAAAATAATAATAAAAAAACAAGAAAATAAAACAAACAAAAACAAAGTAAACAAAAAAAAACAAACAAAAAGAAACAAGACAAGATAAAAGTTAAAACTAAAATATAATCTTCTTAGTTTATTTCAAGTTAATTTTATGTTATATATAGCAAATTTAAATTATACTAATTTATATATTATTTATATATATAGATTACAAAGAGAAATTAATAAAAGTAAGAATCTATAACATGTTAAAATATGATAATTATTGTGTAATATTAAAAAAAGATTTGTATAAAATCTATATATTATTAATTAAATTAATATAACAAGAGATAAAAATAAAGTATTAATAAAATTTAAAATATAAATTAATATAAAATTACTATAAATTAATTAATTAATTAATTAAATAATAATGAAATTTAAATTAAAATAATGTGATAAAAATAAAAATTAATTGGATAAAAATATGAATTATTGCTATTTTGCTTTTTTATTATCATTTTTATGTCGATAGGCAAGGTATTAACTAATTATAGTAATTAATTAAGAATTATATAGGAGCGATAATAGTGACTGTGTGTACTTGAGAGGGTTGAATACTAGATGGTTGGGAGAGAGTATTAAAAAGAAATAAATTCTATACTTCCACTAATTGGGTAAGTATTTTATGATTCAAAAGTGCGAATAATTTATTAAAATACAAAAGATGACTTTTACTAGTTGGATAAGTCAAAGTTAAGTAAATAATAAATCAAAGATAACAATAAATAAAAGATTAATTAGAAGTATTAGTTAACTTCTATTCTTTTATTATTTTCAAAAAGTACTTAAATATTAGATACTTG